CCACCTTTGCCTGTTGATCAGAGTGGCAGATTAGTTCGTGATTAAAGGATCTAGACGTTGGATTTAATCTCAACAATGTTTGATATCATGAATCGAGGTATTTATATCTAACCATTTATTTATGTATTATAGATATGTGAAAATCATGAAGTTCTAAAATATGAGATTCATGTAAATTTGTGATTAATGGCTTAACACGAATTATTATAGTTTACATGTGGTATCAGAGCTTATGGTTTGGGAACTCGTTATTTTCTTTTAAAGTTGCATAAATAATATGTATAAATTTAAACTATAATTTGTTTAGTTTATTTGTTTGGAATCGCCTCCACACATATGTATGTTTTAATTGTTGTTATAAATATGTCCCTGATGCATGCCACGTCCCGGAAAGAATCAGCAATGTTTTTTGGTAGTTAAGAATTTTGACTTTTTATCTCGATTTTCGAGCGTAATGAATTTTGTGGAAGGTAACTTACTTTCACACGAGTTACTATAGATGTATATGAATGTCCATTAAAGATTTGATTGGTTACTAAATTTTGCCATACATCTGATTAATTATGAATATTCTAATTTTATTATTATTTTAAAAATAATAATATTAATAAAATATTAAATACATCAAGTATGTGAATTTATATAAAATTTCTAGAATGATATGTGAGTCTAGAAATTTAATTAAATTTTTGTTAGACATAATGAATTATTGTTTTATACCCAAACATACATACATGATGGAGAATTAATTTTAGATTAATTCAATTATGATCTTTAAGTCTGAAAATAAAATAATATGTTTTATTATGTATATAAAATAAAAAGATATTTTCTATGAAATTTCGAACTATTAAGTTTTTGAGATCGAAATGGCTTAAATTTCAATCGACAATTATGAGTATGTGTGTATAATGTAAAATGGATAAATTAATGATTAATTAGTTACTAACTAATTTAATATTTATATTATGTGAGTGTTAGTAGCTACCAAAGTGGCCTAACCATAATAATCGATGACTATTAATTTTAGTAATAAATATAACTTAATGATGAATTAATTTCTGTCTAATTTAATATTCATATTATGTGAAGATTGGTAGCTACCAAAGTGACCCAATCATACTATGTGAAGATTGGTAGCTATCAAAGTGGCCCAATCATATTATGTGAAGATTGGTAGTTACTAAAATGACCCAATCATAGTGATTAATAAATATTAATTTTTGTAGTAGATATAATTAATCATAAATTAGTTACTATCTAATTTAATATTCATATTATGTAAAGGTTAGCAACTACCAAAGGACTTAACCATAATGGTTAATGAATATTAATTTTAATAGTGTAATATTTCATAAATTATAATGCTTATTATTTTTTGTAAATATTGAGTATGTATTTACTACTAATAAATGAACATATTTTATTTTAATTAACACTATTTTTTATTTGATAAATAAGTATGTATTCATTTATTATTCATCCATAGCAATCAATGGTGGCAGGACATTGTAAATCCCACAAGGAAGGACGCAAGTATTGTCCCTCCTCAATATAGGTTTCCAAATTGGATTTGGATTAATTTTGGTTGATATATTTTGATTTAGCCCACCCCATTGAGAAATCCTGGATGTTTTGTTTCACATAGAAATACAATCTGTGTAATGTACGAAGGATATATTCAATCTTTCTACCATATTTTTATTTTCAAATTTTGGTTTTTGATTTTCTTTTGTTATTAGTATGCAGAATATCAGGATATTGATTTGTTAATTTTGAAGATTATTCCTAAACTGATGCATTGTACTTTGTTATTGAATTAATTTAACATAAGAGTTGAGTATAATATGTGCTAATCACACCTATCCGTAATCACACCTCTTTCTACGGATAGGTGTTCAACATTTTGACTAAAAGTATAGTTGAGTTGGGTTAATACATGATACAGATAGTACTTAGATGGTGGTGTTTTAATTGTTATGAGTGAGATTGTGAAACCTCTTCCTCACAACTTGAGTGTTTTCTTATTTTTTAGGGTTAGCACTGGGTCTTAACATTTAGCAAGAACAAGGTTCAAGAAACATTCTTCATCAGTCATCAGGTAACAAACTCTTACTTTTTCTAAAATTTTAATTGGCATTTTTAGCTATTAGTTAGGTTTATTTATTCATGTTTTACATATTGATTTTTTTTTTTTTTTTTTTTGTTTCTACATACATATATATAATATTGTTATGATGTGATGCTCAACTAATTTATTAATGGGAATTAAAGACTTGGAAGTTTAGTTTTCAATTTCAGAATATATTAAAACTTTTCCTCTTTTGTCCTAATAATATAGGTCTCTTTTACGAAAGAAGAGGGTTGATGGGAGTGGGTGGAATAGGGAAAAAGAAAATTCTGGATCCGCCCTTGGGTGTGTATTGGTGATCAACAATACGTGGCCATATTTGTGGTTGAAGTTTCTGATGATCTATAGTGTCTAATTACCCTCACTTCCACAATCTGCCCACTAAACGTCAGTGGACTCTACAGTGACTTGATCCTCAATTCTTGCTTTGTCAAGAAGGAAGTTCATATGTGTTTGAGAAGAGCCTCTTCATCTCAGTACAATAATACCCTAAAAAGAAAGAGAGTTTTTCCAAATATTTCAAAGGAGAGAAAGAAAATGAGATTGATGAAGATGGTGGAGAAGGAGAAACCATAATTGCCGATCACGATTAAGAATCCGCGGGAGGCGAGGGGAGTAATTTACATGGTTTGCCAATTGAAAAGTTCTTCTGTTTACTCTGCTGCGATTTTTAAATTAGTGATGGATATGGACGAAGTAAACGCTGAACGTCGATTTGAAATGTTTAATTGGAGGAAGTATTTGGGCTATGAATCTTCTCCATGTTTAGGATCAGTGTCATGTGGTATGTTTAATCGGAGGAAGTATTGCTTTAATAAGTGGTAATAGGAATAGTCTTGGAAAAGACATTATTGTTAGATCATTATTGATACTTCTCATTTATAGACTATGTTGAATAGGTTACTAGTATTGTGGTACATGGAAGGGACTGTGTCATTTAGGGACATACAACTGCCATGACTCACATTGGTAGTTTGTTTACTATAGTATTTATGATGACCAACTTAATACCTTAATCTGATTTATGGTGCACACTAATGACTATTTTACTAAACCACTACAGAAATTATTATATGTGCCAAGTGGGAGAATGTAAGATTATTTATTTAATTGTGGCTCACATGATTTAGACATGTGACATATTACTTGGTAGCTAAGTAAATAGATATGAATTAATATTATTTATTTTTGGTCAACTTATAATTACATTTTTGGTAATTACTTATTGGAGAAGTGTTTTCCTTTCTTATTCCTTACTTTGATGGAAAGTAAAATTATGTTACTAAAACGAAAACTGGTCCTCTCTCTACCTTTATAAAAGTGCATATACTCCATCAATTATGTATAATTAATGATACAACAAGTAAAAGTTTTATGTGTGCAAAAGGCCAAGAGAGAGAAACCAGTTTCCACATTTGCCTATTGATCAGAGTGGCAGATTAGTTCGTGATTAAAGGATCTAGACGTTGGATTTAATCTCAACAATGTTTGATATCATGAATCGAGGTATTTATATCTAACCATTTATTTATGTATTATAGATATGTGAAAATCATGAAGTTCTAAAATATGAGATTCATGTAAATTTGTGATTAATGGCTTAACACGAATTATTATAGTTTACATGTGGTATCAGAGCTTATGGTTTGGGAACTCGTTATTTTCTTTTAAAGTTGCATAAATAATATGTATAAATTTAAACTATAATTTGTTTAGTTTATTTGTTTGGAATCGCCTCCACACATATGTATGTTTTAATTGTTGTTATAGATATGTTCCTGATGCATGCCACGACTCGGAAAGAATCAGCAATGTTTTTTGGTAGTAAAGAATTTTGACCTTTTATCTCAATTTTCGAGCGTAATGAATTTTGTGGAAGGTAACTTACTTTCACACGAGTTACTATAGATGTATATGAATGTCCATTAAAGATTTGATTGGTTAATGAATTTTGTCATACATCTGATTAAATATGAATATTCTAATTTTATTATTATTTTAAAAATAATAATATTAATAAAATATTAAATACATCAAGTATGTGAATTTATATAAAATTTCTAGAATGATATGTGAGTCTAGAAATTTAATTAAATTTTTGTTAGACATAATGAATTATTGTTTTATACCCAAACATATATACATGATGGAGAATTAATTTTAGATTAATTCAATTATGATCTTTAAGTCCGAAAATAAAATAATATGTTTTATTATGTATATAAATTAAAAAGATATTTTCTATGAAATTTCGAACTATTAAGTTTTTGAGATCGAAATGGCTTAAACTTCAATCGACAATTATGAGTATGTGTGTATAATGTTAAATGGATAAATTAATGATTAATTAGTTACTAACTAATTTAATATTTATATTATGTGAGTGTTAGTAGCTACCAAAGTGGCCTAACCATAATAGTCGATGAATATTAATTTTAGTAGTAAATATAACTTAATGATGAATTAATTTCTGTCTAATTTAATATTCATATTATGTGAAGATTGGTAGCTACCAAAGTGACCCAATCATATTATGTGAAGATTGGTAGCAACTAAAATGACCCAATCATAGTGATTAATAAATATTAATTTTTGTAGTAGACATAATTAATCATAAATTAGTTACTATCTAATTTAATATTCATATTATGTAAAGGTTAGCAACTACCAAAGGACTTAACCATAATGGTTGATGAATATTAATTTTAATAGTGTAATATTTCATAAATTATAATGCTTATTATTTTTTTTGTAAATATTGAGTACGTATTCACTAATAATAAATGAACATATTTTATTTTAATTAACACTATTTTTTATTTGATAAATAAGTATGTATTCATTTATTATTCATCCATAGCAATCAATGGTGCCAGGATATTGTAAATCCCACAAGGAAGGACGCAAGTATTGTCCCTCCTCAATATAGGTTTCCAAATTGGATTTGGATTAGCGGAGGAGAAGGTTCTGTTTCCAAATTGGATTTGGATTAGGTTTTGCCCTTTTAGTTTGGATGTAAAATTAGATTAGGAATCTAATTTCCTTTACTAGTATTGACCGTATGGATATAAATACAAAATTAAATCCCCAAATCCTTGAATTTGTTCCCTTCTTCAACAACCGCAACATCAACTGCCCTACGATAAAACCCTAATTCGATGGATCCGGGAAAGAAGATGAGATTGACGATGATGGTGGAGAAGGAGGAAGCACCAGCGTTTAAGGAGGAGGACGAGGAGGTAAGGCAAGTAATTTACATAGTTGCTCAACTGAAAAATTCTTCTGTTTACTCCGCAGCAATATTTAAATTAGAGATAGAAATCGATGAAGAAGTAAAAGCTAAAGATCGATTTGTTGTGTTTAATCGGAAGGAGTATGTGGGGTATGAATCTCCTCCACGTTTAGGAGATGTGTCTTGTGATATGGTGTATAACGATTTATACCTAGTGTGTAGTTATTCGAAGCTTGGCGGTAAAGGCGGCGGCCAAATCCGCCAAGCTCCTGTTCATATATTCGACACTGTGAATGAACGACTCTTTGAGTTGTCAAACTCTGATCGAGTTGTTGCACCCAAACCCATGCCCGTAGTTATGGCTGTTGGAACTCAACTTTATGTGTATGGGCAATCCGTGGGAACTTCATTGAATGTCCCATTGCCCACACTTGAGAGCTTTAGCTGTGGAGACCTGGAATGGGATTCACAATTACCACCTCAGTTTGATTTGCCTAAATGTACCAGCGTTGAAGGTTATGCTGTTATAAACAATTTTCTGCTCCTTTCGGTTGAAGATTTCAATGGTGTAATTTCCCGTAATGAATTTTTCTACTTGAATTTCTCTAATTCAAACTGCAAGTGGGAAAAGTTGATCTTGTCGAAAGATGTATACTATCCCTTCCATGGAAAGGCTGAGTTCATTGATGGTGTCATTTATTCCTGCAATGGAGCCTTGTCTGTATACAAGGTTGATTCATGTTCTGACGAGGAGGGTCTACATATATCTCCTCCTCAGCTAGTTGGATTTCCCAAGTTTGCATCCCCGCCTCTGGATTGGTCCGACTCCGTCTATTTCTCCTTCTGCTTTGCATATATGGGGATTGGGAAGAGATTCTGTATCATCAAGACTGGGGACTCGGGGTGTATTGGTGATCAACAATACGTGGCCATATCTGTAGTTGAAGTTTCTGATGATCTGCGGTGTCTAACTACCCTCACTTCCACAATCTGCCCACTAAACGTCAGTGGACTCAACAGTGACTTGATCCTCAATTCTTGCTTTGTCAAGAAGGAAGTTCATATGTGTTTGAGAAGAGCCTCTTCATCTCAGTACAATAAAACTCTAAAAAGCAAGAGAGTTTTTCCAAATATTTCAAAGGAGAGAAAGAAGATGAGATTGACGAAGATGGTGGAGAAGGAGAAACCACAATTGCCGATCACGATTAAGAATCCGCGGGAGGCGAGGGGAGTAATTTACATGGTTTGCCAATTGAAAAGTTCTTCTGTTTACTCTGCTGCGATTTTTAAATTAGTGATGGATATGGACGAAGTAAACGCTGAACGTCGATTTGAAGTGTTTAATCGGAGAAAGTATTTGGGCTATGAATCTTCTCCATGTTTAGGATCAGTGTCTTGTGGTATGGTGTATAATGAATTATACTTACTGTGTACTTATTCGCAGCTCGACCTTCAGGGCAGCCAGATCCGCCAAGCTCCTGTTCATTTATTTGACACTCTGAATGAACGAGTCATTGAGTTGCCAAAGACTGATCGAGTCACACCGAAACCGTTCCCCATAGTTATGGTTGTTGGAAATATCGACCTTCTTGTTTATGGGCAATCTGCGGCAACTTCATTGAATGTCCCATTGCCAACTCTTGAGTCCTTTACTGTTGGAGTGGTCAAATGGCAATCACAATTACCTCCTCAGTTTGATTTGCCGGACTGTACCAATGTTGTAGGTTATGCGGTTGTAAATAATTTTCTCCTCATTTCGGTTGCAGATTTCAATGGTAGAAATTCTCATAATGAATTTTTCTACTGGAATTTCTCTGGTTCTAATTTGAAGAACAGCAAGTGGGAGAAGATGATCTTGTCAAAAGACCAAAAAACTATATACCATCCCTTCTCTGGAAAGGCTGAGTTTATTGAAGGTGTCATTTATTTCTACAATAGAGGGTTGTATGCATACCGGGTTCGTTCCTGTTCTGATGAGAACAATCTACGTATATCTCCTCCTCAGCTAGTTGGATTTCCTGAGTTTGCAGCCCCACCTGGGGATTGGTCCGACTCCATCCATTTCTCGTTCTGCTTTTCATATACGGGGATTGGGAAAAGATTCTGTATCATCAAGACTGGAGACTCAGGTTGTACTCCCGATCAACAATACGTGGCCGTATGTGTAGTTGAAGTTTCTGATGATCTGCAGTGTCTAACTACCCTCACTTCCACAATCTGCCCGCTCAACATCAGTGGACTCGACAGTGACTTGATCCTCACTTCTTGCTTTGTCAGGTAAGTTCCATGCTTGGCTTAATTATGTGCCTGTGTCTACTATCTCCTCTTTCTTTATTGTGTCATCAATTATACTAATACCAGAGGGTCTCTATTAATTAGAGGATGTAATATTCCTGCATGCTATTTGTATAAATTAATTATTGTCAGTCAATTTTAATTGCATTCTTTTGTTCAACAATCTATTCCTTATGGAATCGTACGCCTCTGAACTACTTTTTCAAGTATCTCCATAAAGTTTTTATTCTATGAAAACTTCTCTGAATCATGTCTAATGCATTGACATCATACTTGTAGGATGGAAGGTCATAAGTATTTCGTAAGAGCATTACAATCAGGAGGAGGAGGCGGAGGAGGAGGAGGAACCAGTGCCGGTCATGTTTAAGCACGTGCACGATGCAGGGAAATGTGTCGTTGAAGGAAGATCTCTCTTCAATGATCAGAGCTGAAAGAGCAATAGAGGGCATCCATTTCACATGAAGACCCGCGATTGTAAATATGTTCAGGTTCATATGTTTTGATAGGAGTCTGTAGGTTGGAGTAAAAGTGAAAATGAAACATTCTGCCACATTTTTCAGATAATGTTCATATTAATGGAAGATGAAATTAAATTGACACGATTTTGTAACCTTTTTTCTTTTCTTTTCTTTCATTTATTTATTTGTTTTTGTGTCGTGACAAATAACTCATTATGAGAACTTGAATCCTTCCGGGACGATTTTTAAATTGGTGATGACAACACCCACGAAGTTTAGCATGAAACTTGGCAGAAGGTGTCTGGGCTTGACTCCCTTTGCTGTGTACTTGTGAACCTTAATTACAAGTCTCCCCCAGCCTTTTGTATCTACGTAGGTACATTCACCAAATAAGGGGAGGAGTCAGAATTTTAGTTTGGGGAGCACAATATCAAGAAAAAAAATTATTTAAAAGATTAGAGGGAAAAAAAATTATAAAAAGGAAAAAAAAAAGTAAGAAAAATGATAACTTAAAAATGAAACAATTAAAATTTAATTTAATAAGAAAAATTTAACTTTTTTTCAAGGAGTTTGAAGAATAAATTAGGAAAAAATAAGAGATAATTTTAAAACTAATAATTTTAAGGGGAATTTGAAGAGTAAATTAGGATGTGAGACAAATAATCTATGAATCAGATCCATGTGAATTGGATCGAATCGCTATACCACAGATGGGTAATGGATTCAATTGAATCCGTGTCTCACGAATTGGACAGATTTAAAATTCGATCTGATCCGTGAATACGATCAATTCAATTAGTGAGATATATATATATCTATACACACACACACATATTCAAATAATGTATTAGTTAATATAGTTAGTTAATGATAATTTATATATATGAATTGATGTTGATAAATTAAAATTTTAATCTATTGGGTTATGGTTAAAAAATAAACAATATTGGACAATTTAGTAAAAACCTTCATCCGCGAATTTGATCCCTCGTATTACGGATCCGATCTATTATCCCACGGAGCGGTGGCAGACAAAGATTTTTCAAATCCGTTGGGAGTGGATCCGATTAGGATTGATGCCTAATCTGATCCAATCCGTAGTCACCCTTATTAATTTCAGAGACACCCCGGAGGTTGGACAAATATCACATTGAAACACTTGTACAAAATTACTATCACTTAAATCCATTTTTTTTTTTTTCGACACAGTTAAAAAGGTGCGAAAATACAAATTTGCCCCTAATTTTTTAAATGCTTTTTATTCCAAAATATCAACAATGTAAAATGACTATTTTGCTCTCACCTACCCACTCATCTCTTGAGATACCCTTCGAATCCGAGACACGGGTTGATCAGGCCCAAGCCCGAACCCGATGGAATATCAAACAATTAATATATAAACGAACACAGAATATAAAAAATTTAAGAAATAAACAAAGCTGAAAGAATTACTAATATAAAATCCTCAATCATCAATGACCAAAATAATCCAACTCTCCAAAACTTCCAAGAGTACAACTCGGTAATCCCTCAAGTGGACCTTTAAATAAAAATCCCAACTAAAACTAAAAACAACTGGAAATAAAATCCAAATCCAAAACATGGAGTGAAATCCTACATCGTCGGTAGATTGAATGATCGTATCTGCTCAGCTGAACAAGCCCTAAGACTGGAACCGTCCGATACCTGAAAAATATAAGAGTGGGTCAAGCCCACGAACAAGTTCTATTCTAACTGCAATCCATACAGTGACCCGATACGCAGATACACCATAGATATCTCAACAATAGCTATTTAGTCTATACATATATATATCCACACTAAGGGACATTCACTGGACTATATAGGGGGTTTCAACCTGAATAGAAGGCAACATGCAAAAACGCACCTAAGTGGGCATGAGTACCTAAGCCTAACAGGGTATACCTCAACCTATCATAGCCAGCTATGCATCCACTGCATATACGCGCCTTAACCATCGATTTTGAGACTCAAGCTCATATCGTAGTACCATAATCATATATTTAAAGTCCATCCAAAACCAGAATATGTCATTCAATTCTTTGTTGATCTGACATAAGACTTATAATCCGGTTAGCCACTCAACTTACTCAGTCGATTTGACTTAACCGCGAATAACAATAAATTCAGGTAGTCATTCAACTTACTCAGTCGATCTGACTTAACCATAACCAACAATTAATCCAGATAGTCACTCAACTTACCCTGTCGATCTGACTTAAATAAAATTAGGATTCAATATTTTACAATCCTTTCCTTTAATCCAATAGGGTAGGTCTTAGCATTTTGATTTAAACCATCCCTAGTATGCCATCGTTCTATACTGGTGCATACAATCCACAACATCCAGATAATTAGCGGAATTTAATATAATAATTCAGCAATTAAAGTCCAGAACCATGTAAATTACAGACCATAAATAATAGTATAGCAATTTAAGTCCAAAACCATAATCCAAGTAATTGCAGAATGGTGTTTAACATTTCAGCAATTCAAATCCAAACCTTAATCCATGTAATTGCAGAAAAGAATTTAGTATTTCAACAATTAAAATCCAGAATATGCATGGATCAAATCTAATACACAAATGACCCTATTGCACATCCGAAATAAGAATTATAATCCTACTATATTCCGATAAATTGCTAAAATTAAATTAAGTAATTAAACTCCTTCCATCCGTTAACAGCATGCAAAGTTTAATACTTTTCTATTGTTCCATCTGTTAGCCTATAGGTATAATTTATGCCATATGAGGTTTTAATAATTCACAAAATTACATTCAAAACCCTCAGTACATTTCCAAAAACATTTCATACCAAACTAGTCCCAAATAGTGCCCAAAAGTCCAGATTTTACGAAAATACGAGAGCTTGTTCTTAAACCTGTAAAGCAGGCTCCAAACAACAATGGAGTAGGCTCCAATACTTCTTGGAGCCGGCTCTAGAGGGGTGGAACTGCCTCTACATCCCCTAGAGCCGGCTCTATGATGAGCGCTGAAAAGTACACTTTTAAACCCCTTAAGCTTGAGTATTCTAGGACCTTTATCTATCTTATTTACTCGTTTTAGTTCTTATTTGTGTTTTTGTCTATTTTAGGTCAATAATGTTAAAATGAGCTAAAAATAGTTTCTTAAGGCCTTTTTGGAGTCAAATTAAGTCTTAGTGATGATCCGGAGCAAAAGAGGCTGATTTGGAGCAAAAGGAGGCCAATGCTGAAAAACTGCCAAGTTGGATCGATCCAACTTTTTCTCTGATCGATCCAACTTCTCTGGTCGATTGAACAGTGCTGGCAGCAAGCTGTCTTATTCCGTGCGTGCCCAAAAGTCCACCTATCACATAGTACGGGATTAGATATTTTTGGGGCTATATTCCTGACTTAGTGACTAAGAAAAGGACCTTCTATATAAAGGGAAGAGACCCATTTGTAAAGAAGCTTTTTATCTTTTTATTTTTTACATTGTATTTTTTATTTCTCTCTCTAACAAAGTTAGAGATTAGGGTTAGAAGAAAAGAGGGAAGTGGAGGCACATCTCAAGACCCATCTCTAGACCACTCTCTCTTCATCTCTAGAGCTTCAAAGAAGAAGAAGAAGAAGAGGAAGAAGAAGATGGAGCCATATTTGGAGCTTGATTCCATGACCACATCTACCTCCTCCATGATTGGTTAGATCTACACTTAGGGCTTGGATGAGCCCTAAGTCATGTGTAATCCAAACCCTTGTATTTCTATTTTTGGGGATTTATATATATTGTTGTGATTAGTGCTCTAGCCTTGTGAATTTAATGAATCTTGGTATATTTCTATGATTTCTATGGTTTAATTCCTATTATTAATTCTCTAGTTTATTTACATGTCTATGTGTGATTAAATTAGGAATTATTTCTTACATGATTCATATGGATTAATTCTTTCTATTGATTCTCTATTTTAATTACATGTTGTCTTATGTGTGATTATTTGGGGAATGGATCTCTACACTAGATTCTCTATGTTGGTTGCATGTCTATGTGTGATTAATTAAGGATTTAGTGATGGCTAAGCATGGGTTTTCATTGAATGGGTTTGTCAATTAATTTGATGGTTTATACTTATGCTTGATGGGTTGTTCTACAATTTAATTCATGCTTGTAGGTAGGTAGACAATCTATGCTTGCTTAGATATTCCATAGCTTATTATTGCAAATTCCATGATTCTCTAGATTGATGTGTGCTACAATTGTTGCTACTTAGATGGGTCATGCTTAAAATTGATGGGTTGTGCTACACTTAGTTTAGGTAGATAATTCATACATAAATTAGATGGTCTATGCTTCATATTGCAAATTCCATGATTCTCTATATTGATGTGTGCTACAATTGTTGCTACTTAGATGGGTCATGCTTAAAATTGATGGGTTGTGCTACACTTAGTTTAGGTAGACAATTCATACATAAATTAGATGGTCCATGCTTAATATTACAATTGGTAGTCGCATTTTGTTCACAACAATGTATCCTAATGAATACAATGCACCCACATGCATTCAATTGCCACCATTTAGAGCACATCACTATGAAATTAAGCCACAAACCATTCAAATGCTTCCTAATTATCATGGACTTCCAAGTGAAGAACCTTACAAGCATTTGGATGAGTTTCTAGAAGTATGTGCCACCGTAAAATATACGGACATGCCGGAAGAGGTCTTAAGACTCAAACTTTTTCCATTCACCTTAAAAGACAAGGCAAAGTATTGGTTTAACAATCTTAGGCCTTTTTCAATCACTTGTTGGGTAGAAATGCAACAAGAGTTCTTGAAGAAGTAGTATCCGGTTTTTAAGACCAATGTCATGAGAACCTCAATTCGGAAATTTTCACATGGGGATGGAGAAACGTTTCATGAGGCATGGGAACACTTTAATGAATCGCTTAGGAAGTGTCCACTTCATGACATGCCCAAATGGCAATTAGTTCAATATTTCTTTGAGAGCTTATCGGACAATTACAAAGGCATGGTTGATGTTTCCATGGGTGGCTCATACATTGATAGGCATGAGGATGACGTGTGGTGTCTTTATGAGAGCATGAATGAAAATTCTTTACATAGAACATTATCATCCAAGAATAGTAGAAATT